AGGTCAAGAAGTGTCACTTTATTAACTGGACAGCTTTAGTTCCTTCGTTTCGTAATCGTGTAAATAGGTGTGGTTAAAAGCAGGTGCTGCTGTTCTGGACAAGTGGTGTAGGTATTTCCCGGGAACCTGAGAAGATTTTTTCTAGTCGTAGTCCGGTCACTTTAGCACTAATATTTGCGTGTGTATGTCTAGATATTTCGGTAATTTTCAGCGTGTACTAAACCGATTCAATTTAATTTAGGATAGGGGGTATTTCGCGGACAATGAAACGGGAACGCGCCATTGATGGATGGGTAGCCCTATCCAAGACATTCATTGAAAGTTTTGAAATCTTGCCCATGCAGCGTGTGTTCAACTGATCTTAATAATGACAATGGTAACTGTTCAATAATGCTGCCTTTTATTAAACCCCATTATACTTGGCGTTTAAGTAGTTTCAGTGTGTTAACAAGCCCGAAACAGCATCTGTACCTGATGAAGTTAACAGCTTTCGAATTCGCATTTCACTCTAAAAAGCTGACATTTCAAGCTTTAGCCCTTCGTCATTCGCTGTGACGAAGGCTAGCGCTCGAAACGTCAGCTTTGAAACTCTTTAAGGTGGCCAATTTACATTATCAACTCAGTTGATAAAATCAAATTATCTTGTTACCCCCACCGACCCAGCACCACAGTTTCCTCAGAAATTTACCCCCTTTACAAATAACATGAGCACTAATTTCATTGTCGTTGAATTTGGATGATACTAAATCATGTTGAAAATTAGTAATGTTTTGACTAGTTCTCTCTTGCACGGTATTTTACAATAGTGACTGTTACGGTGGCATCCAAACGTGACTGTATGTTTTGATCTAAGACCTTAGAAGAGACATCATTGATATGACTGTTCTCTCACGTTTTTGTCAGACAACCATTTTGAGAATAAAGGAAATAAATACCGTGTTTTGTTTCGCAACGGCGTTTTCTTTTAGGGAAAGGAGGAAAAAGTATGTCCCGGCTGGTAAAAAACCTAATGTGTGAAGGAGCTAAAAATGTTGAGGTTGTTTTTTCAACAAATTCCTTTACTCATAGAAGTTGTCGGTTAGATCGAAAAGCCGCCAGATAGGACATGCAGCTAATAAATGGAGATGACTAGTCCTTGATTCCTAGTTTATCCCTGTAAATAGCATAAAATTGACGTTACATATTCACGAGGCTCGGCTCGATAGCTGGGCTATGCTACTGACACAAATGTCTGAAATGGTCGATAAAATACCGTTGATACAAAAATCGCTACGCGGGCTTCATTATTGCCATTCCTAAGACCTTTTCACTTGAAATTGAGAAAGGAAAAAAGACCTGGGAATGATATACTATGAGTAGTCCCTCCTTTTCGGCGAAGTCCGTCGCGCGAGTAGAAAAAAAAATTAAAAAAAAAATTTGATATTAGCGCGCTGTGGGGAGCTCTTGGAGTGACGCCGATGCGCCGCATGAGCCTCGTGAGTCAGGCGCTCGGAAAGTAGGTTCGAAAACACGCGGTGTGCGCACTCCGATTGCATTGCATTGTGGAAGCGCTATTTCCAATTTGGCGATAAAGGTGGCAGAAATCGGCAGATTTTGACTGAACATTCCGTAAAATTTAGGCCGTTTCTTTTTCCTTTCACTTAGGTAAATCTAGTTTGATATGTTGTGAATGTGTAGAGGCATTTTTCTTACATATTTGTCGCGTATTCTATCGTTCTCATAGACAAACGCAAGTATGGGAGTCGCGGAATTCATCATCGGAGTCGCAGAATTCGTCACGCAGGCTCTTCAAACTTTTTAACCTTTGAAGGAACGGCAGCAGTGAATCTCCATTACAATTCCCGTATATTCGCTGCCACCAGAGAAGTTCACTCCGATGCGTCAAGATGGAAATGGCGCAATTTTTTACGACCATGATGCAACGCAATCGGAGTGCGCACACCGCCATGTTCGAAAAGTAGGTTCGACCGCCTCATTTATGGAGTTCATGGGGCGCATCAGCGTCACTTCAAGAGTTCCCGCTGCGCGCTATCAGCGATTTTTTTTCGCTAATTTTTATTATTCTTGACTCGCGCTACGCACTTCGTCGAAAAGGAGATGTTTATCCACCATTTTGTAACCTTTCT